ATGTGAGTTCATTGCCAACTTTTACGGAGGTCTTGCCCGTCTAAAGAGATCCCAATGAAAGAGGCTAGGCAGGTATATTCCAAAACAATTTGTCTTTTTACTGAAGGATATCAAAGTCACACATACAAAAATCAGTCTCACAGTCGCACTTGCAATTAAGTTCCTTTAGGGTTACAGAAATAGAAAATAGTTTCTCTACACTTTAGGAGATAGGCAGGAAAATCGGTTTATACTCGCCTGTTCCAGTAGCCTTGTCTGATGCAATAAGAATTGGGGATTGAAAGTAAATCGGGGGGGGGGGGCTTCTAAGCACACCGCCAGAACCAGCCGGCAAATGTGGACCTTCTTGGCTGCGCACACCAAAAGGCCAAAGGTAGACAAAGGGTTATTGGATAGGTAGCTGGATGGGAGAGGATTTTAAAGAAGAAAGAGGACATTGAAGGTAGTTGGCTAGCAAGGGTTTAAGGCATTGTCCTTGCTTTTTATACCTCAGTCTTTGGGGTGGTTGGTAACCTTGACATGCTGTTATCCACCTGACCATTAAGCCGTCCCATCTCTAAGCTCATAGGTGCGTGTATAAAAGGGGCTGATCTCGGGGTTTGGTCAATGCTTGAAACACTATTCTCTAACTTAGGTACCGCCATCTGGTTAGGTGTGAAAGCTCTGCTTCAGGACCTCCTTTGATGTGCAGATAAATACCAGCTTTCTCAGGCAATCAAATAAACATTCCCACAGGAAACGGCAATTCAGATGTAAAGTTCAGTTCGTGGATTGCGTGACATCAGTCCTTCCAGCAATGGAGGATTACTTGTCTTTTTAAGCTGTGGATTGTGCTAACAATGGTGACATGTGCTTCTTCTCCCTCAGGCCAGGATCTTTGTGTGTCACCAGATTCATTAGCATGAAAGTGCAGGCAGCAAGCAGACTCTCAGGTGAAAGCCTCTTACTCTGGCGATTCAAGCAGTGTTCCCTGAACCTCTGTGTGTGTGTGTGTGCACAATTCATATGGTGTGTCAGCAAACATCAGTCCACAACAATGCAAATATTTGTTCATATCTCTACAGTTGTTACACTCACTTTGTTTTGTAACCGGGATATTTTACACCCATGCCAGCAGAGGGCTTGGGAGATACATATACACACCAACTACTTTTCATAATCTGCTTTCTCCCATCCCCATGCAGAGTTCAGATGCATCTTTGTGAGGAAAAACACAAGCATGGAGTTTTATGGGATGAAGGAAGCGACAGATTGCTGAAAGCAGTGACTTTTTAAGACAAAAAATCCCCCTTCTTTAGTTTTTGCCAGATTACAGACAGGCAGGAAACATAGGCTGCAATCCTAAAAACACTTTCCTGGGAGAGAGCCTAATTGAATAGAATGGGGCTTACTTATGAGGAGACCTGCCTAGGCTTTTTTGGTTTCACCTTAAAAAAAAAAAATCAGCCTCAAAGGGCTTTGAGCTCATTTCCACATCCACTGTCAACAAGTGGTTAGTATAAAACCTCAGACCAACCTCAAAGATTAGGAGCAGCTTTTCACTTGCTCCCATGGCAGGAGATTTCTACAGCCGCAGCTTGCTCCTTCCGTTACCATACTATCACTTCTGGAGATAATATTTTAAAAAACAAAACCATGTGGTGGAGGACACAGAGGACAAGGAGAAGGGGCTGGTAATGGAATGTGGTTGTGCACAAACTTTACAACTTTTGAAAAATTAGGGCACCGCCAGTCGGGTTTATGTTAGGATTCCATCTCTAGTTCTATCAGTTTAAAAATTAAAAAGGTGTTTGTGAGGCACAGGGGAGGGTGAAGGTGAGAGAGGAGGGGGCAGGGGTAGTGGTAACTGAAAATGGGTTTGAACAAACTTTTACTTTTTTTGAAAAATAGGGGCAGCACTAACTGGTTTTCTGTTAGTGCTCTATCACAAGTACTTTCCATTAATTTTTTTTAAAGGTTCCACAGGGCAAAGGGGAAGGGGGGGCAGGGTGAAGGGTAATGAGGCATGATTTTGAACAAATGTTTAATCTTTTGAAAAATCAGGGCAGCGTCTATTGGGTTTCCATTAGCACTGTGTTGCTAGTTCTTTCAATATAAAAGAAAGTGGGAAGTGTGGGGAGAGGAAGGGGCATGGATTGAGAGGGTAGGTTAGATGTGGGCATGGATGGGTGTCAATGGCCAGCGAAGAAAAACCTGAATGGAGCATTACGCACATGGAGTGAAGCCCACTCAGAATCAGCTTGGAAAAAACATCGGTGTAAAAGTACTCCGCCCCAAAGAAAAGGAGAAAAAGCCCTGAAAAACCAAAGCAACCATTATGGGGAGCAAAACACATGTGTAGAAGAGAAAAAATGAAGCAGTTTGGGTCCAGAACCAACAAAAACCACACTTGAGGAAAAGGCCTATGTCTAATTTTTTTTTTATTTAAATTTAAGGCCCGTGTCTAGTTTTGATTGCAAGGGATGTGGGCCAACACCGCAGAGGGTGGAGTCTGGGGAGGGTTACTCAGATGGCTGACAGGAAGAGAAGAGTGGGAAGAAACAGAAAACAAGCCTGCGAGTTGCATCCTGAGGCCAAAGAAAGTGCTAAGGGCTTATCTATGCACGACTAAGTCCTCATGTTTGCTAGGGAACCACACGAGGCTTATGCAACAAACATGTAATGGGAGTTTTCTGCCACCCCACACACCCACTGGTCCTTTTCTGCTTTGAAGCAAGTGGGGAGGGGAGAAGCAGCTGTATCTTCTGCTCTGCCACCTGATGTTTCCACAGCTGCAAACTAGACTTTGCCATGCATAGATAAGCCATTTATGGAGAGCTAGAAGGAAGTAGGCTGACTTGGTCCGTGCCATTCAGCAGTCTCTTTGTAGCGGTGGCAAACCAAGCGCTCCCCAGAAACTTTCCCTTGCAAGTTAGATTGTGAAACAGCAACTTCCCTGGTGGTGGAAAAAGTGCCGTCAAGTCACAGGCGGCCTTTATGGCAAACCCCAGAGGGTGTTCAAGGCAAGGGACAAAACAGAGGTGGCTTTGACGGTGCCTGCCTCCGCATAGCGACCCTGTACTTCCTTGAGGGCCTCACTGGGGGGAGACCAATGAGCTGTCCTTCATACAGCTGACCCCCCAGGAGTCAGAAAACAACAGACAGCTGACTCACCCCACTGAGGCAGAAGCCCCTCCCAGCAGAACCATGTGCTTCTACTGCCTATAAAGCCCCTTCCAATTCTACCAGTTACTTGTAGCCAATGCTCCCTCTAAGCTGTGGAGTCTTGTGAGCAAAAATTCTACTTTGTGAGCTCCTGGCATTAAAGTTGTGAGTGAGCCATTTGGCTACTGCATAAATTAGTTTGCTCTGGAGCCATCCATCCTGAGCTGAGACAGAAATGTGTGCGCCGGAGGCTAAAAAGCTGTGAGCTAGCTCACAGTAACTCAACTTAGAGGGAACACTGCTTGTAGCTGCTGTGATCCCAGCTGTAGCCTGCTTCATCCTAGGATAGGCAGTCAGAAATGGCTGACCTCTATGTGAAGTTTCAGTGTACCACACTCTTCCCCCTCTCCACATTTCCTGGCTTTTATACTTACCTGGATGAAGGCAGAAAGCAAGGGCTACACCTGATGCAGACTTAAGCACAGTCAGGCCCACTGAAGTCAGCCGTCTTAAGGTGGCCTAATTCTTCGTGGATGGTGGGGGCAGGTCGTCAGTATTTCCAGAGAACTGTCCTGACCCTGGACAGCCCAGGCAAGCCCGATCTCATCAGATCTCGGAAGCTAAGCAGGGTCGACTCTGGCAAGTACTTGGATGGGAGACCTCCTTGAAATACCAGCAGCTGGGAAGACAGCGGCAGGCTTTATTCAGCCACCTCGCTGAATATCCTCCAGGCCCCCAGTAGGGGGTCAGTCACCAGAAGTCACCATGACTTCCAGGTGCACATGCACACATAAAAATACCCCCCAAAAGTATTTCCATAGAACTAAAAATTCTAAGTAATCTCCTTGGTTTAGAACCCCAAACAAAAGAATTTAACCATACTTTTCCTTTCCAAAAAGGATTTGTACCTTCCAAAGGACAGTTATGACTCTTTGAAGTACCATCCATTTGCTTCTCTACATACTGATACTGTAGACCTGTGCTTTAAAATAAGCAATACTTAAAAGTGTACCATAACGGTAAAGAAAATGAAAGACGCATTTTTATCCAGCTCCTACCCCACCTCAGAGTGCTGAGGCAAGGCCAAAAGACACTGAAAACCTTGAAAGAGCTGTAAGTATTATGGAATGTGCTGAAATGGACAGACTGACAAATATACTAAAAGGAAAAATGGAAGAAGAATTTATGGGACCATGGAGGGTGTTCTATGACTGGTTAAAACATAAGTACTGAGAAACTAAGACTAAATGAAGAACAATAAGAAAGATGGTTATAATAGTTATGAAACTTTTAAGAGATTTGCATGCAGAATGTCAAATTGGGTTTTTATATATATAACTCTGTATTCTTTCTTTTCCCTTTCCCCCTTTCTATATATAAATTAAAACAAATTTAAAAAGAAAGAACTGTAAGCATGAACCAGCTGTTAAACGTGATATTTTATCTTTTATTAATTAACAGTGATACGGAGATCCACAGAGCCTTCCATTATTGCCTGTAACGTTTTGGTTGCACAGAATAAGACACTGTCTACAGCAGAAAATACTCAAGGCCAGCTGTAGACATGCAACTCCTACTATTCCTCTGCCAGTGATTACTGATGCCTTTCTATTGGCTCTATAACATTAAAAATGAAAATTCAAGTGCCCTTAAACAGGACTGTAAAGAACAAAACAGAAAACCTCAATCAAGGAAGCCCTTGAGTTATGCATGAAACAACTTAATTTTAGACCATCACTCTGAGCAGAGTAGATAACACCAGAGTCACTTGTTTGACATTGGGATGCAGTTTCCTCTAAGCCAAAGGGTACCCCCCTTTACCCATAGCAGTTCACTGTCCAGGGTAAAAAAATAAGCTAAACCTGCCTGGGTTTGATACCCTCCAGCATTTCCTTCCAAGTCTCAAAGTCCAGCGACTCCCCAAAATTCTCAAGGGCTAGGTCTACATGTACCACCCTATCATCACCATCATGAGCAGTCTCGTCAGGTTCATAATCCTCATCGCCTTCATCTTCATCCTCGTGGTCTTCATTGCTTTCATCTTCCCAGCCACTAGCTTCACATTGCTCATCCCCACTTCCATCATTATCAGACTTCCCTTCTGTTTCATCCTCCTCCTCCTCCTCAGCTTCCTCATCATCTTCTGTCTCTCCTTGGTGATCCTTCTTGACTCTGAGGGGAGAAACAAGATGCACTCGTTTACAAGAGGGAGGAATAGAGAATCAG